GTTTTTATTGGTGATCTTTCATAGAACGACTTTCATAGAATTAAAATTTTTCAAAAACTATAACTAAAGGAAAAAAGCGAGATGTTGTATGCATTATCCATACATATAATAAAAATGTACCTGAACGTTTTCTGTACATGACAAATATTTGCAAAACAACTATTTTTAGGCACAAAAACTCACTTTTTAGGCACGGTATAAAATGTAGTACATGCGGGTGGAGCCGCGGGCAAAAAGCTAGTTTCTCGCTACGCCTGTAACATCCTTACACATTACTCCTATTATCACTTTTTTTACAACACATGTCAAAAATGTGTACCCAGAAAGAATAATATGGAACATCAAATTACAATTCGCCTCGTTCCACTATAATTAATAGGTACGTAAATCTGTGTGAGAGGAAGTTCGGCTTGTGTACATGACTCTTTAGTTATTTACTTTTCTTTTTAAATCTGTTGTTTAAACATTGTTATAAAAAGGTGATTGTTTTATTTAAAGTATGTGTTCTATATATTTTAATAATCAACTTCCTCTTATACATATATTGTACATACTCACATTCTGCAAAGGGGATCAAATACCGTTATACCTGACGCTAACCTCACAATGTGAACCTGAGTTCTTTGTGTTCCCGCTGCGCAGTTCAAAGCTCTCGCGAATACATCGAAAATCGGATCGATAGTTCCCGCACAATGCTATGTACTGACATAATAGGTTAATTGTGATATGAGCCCATTAACAGAACATCTTAGCGTCGTCGTCATGTATAAGTTTACAAAATGATACTAATTAAACAGTTCAAAGCAATCGAAACCTAAACATTTAATGTCTTGTAATCGCATTAGAAGAGAGTGCTGGCTTTAGAATTTTTTGCTTTTCATAAACTTGGTAAAATCGAGCTTGTCACAAGAACATCGAGTACTCAGCAAATGAAATCAAATAAAAAAACCGGCCAAGTGCAAGTCGGACTCGCGCGCGAAGGTTTCCTTATTATCTATAAAAACAGCAAAAAATAAAAATGTCTGTTGTATGGGAGCCCAACTTAAATATTTTTGTTGTGCTTTTTAGTATTTGTTGTTATCTATATATCTGTGAAAATTTCAACTGTATCTATCACGGTTCATAAGATACTGCCTGTAAGACAGCGGAGTCTTAGTAATAGGGTTCCGTTTTATCCTTTGGGTACGGAACCCCAAAAAGATAAATAAATGTATAAAATAGTGCATATGATATAAATACTCATAGTAATAATTTATAATGTTAATTGTTTAACCAAAGAGTTACCCATTTCATTTCATAAAGATATGCGACAACTTCTACTATGTCTACTATATATATATATATACATATACTGTATACATAAATAATCTAGGTACTGGTACATTTAGGAAAGAGCCAAGCAATTTTCATGCCTGTGAAGCATCACTTGAAAACGGACTGGAGGACCCTCGTATCTCTCGTGTAATATTTGGATCTGATAGATTGCTCTTTCATTTCATAGCCTATATAAGTATATGGGTTACATTTAAATTATTTTAGTTAACAAGTCAAGTAGATATAATTTAAAAAACTAAAAAACCCGAATGCGTTTCTGTGTAATTTGGAAATGATTTTGATATACCCAGTGTCCCTCTCACAGTAAATACGAATCTAACGACACCTCTCCAGCTAAAATCCATCAAGCCGTTCAGGCTGCAGAGCGTGGCAAACAATTATACATACATACATACATTCTCTCGAAAAACATAACCCTCCTTCTGGCGCAGTCGGGTAAAAAGTAAAGATAATCTCAGTTATCAGCTAACGTACAACGGGGCAAACATTTCGTATTCAACATATTCGTTTGAAGAAATTTAAAGTTATCGAGGGTTCGTTACTCGACAATGTCCCTTTTATTGCATTTCACCCCAGCGATGATGTTATCAGACAACCGTTACGTAGTCTACTACAGGAAGCAAAGGGGTGAATGCAATTGGGATTGCAATGGCAGAGTAATAAAGAAATACAAACCGATTTAATATCTATTTTGCACCAAAATTTTATTGTAAATATTTTTTCGTATGTTACTTTATATACACACTAGCTTTTCGCCCGCGGCTTCGCTCGTGTTGAACCCCTTAAATAAATATCTATCCCCTTTAAGAACCCTTTTTCCAATTAAAAAATAGCTTATGTCCTTTCTAAGGCTCTAGACTATCTGTGTACCAAATTTCATTTAAATCGATGTGAAAGCGAGACAGACCGACACTTTCGCATTTATAATATTAGTATGGATTAATCCAAAACAAATACCTCAGTGTTTGTATAGCCAGTATCCGTTTGTACAATTGTACAATTATATCCTGACTGGTACAGGCGTAAAACGGGAAGTGGTAATAAATAAATCAAGAAAATATTGTCAATATTACTACCAAATCTGTGAAATCGTAAATTAGTTTAATTTTAAACTTCTTACACAGAGATTATTGAAATAAGAAAAAGCAATCTTATTAACACAAAACAACTATTTATCTACTTCTGTTCTTGTCGAATGCTATATCGTTTACATCTAATCTTATGATAGCTGTAAAACAATGCACAATAAAAGCGAGTGAACACGCATTTGTCCTACATTATTAATTCTCGAACACCAATAAGATGAAACAGCTATTTGTATTCGCATTCATGTTGCTTGATTTATTGCTTTTACAATTTTAACTTATGTTCGATTTTTTTTTCTAATTCTTGAAATAAATCTTAGTAATACATTTTTTTATTTAGCTAGTGTATATCAAATGTTGCCCTTTCGTTTCCTTTTTTGAGACTTAACTTTAGCACAAAAATGACTGAAATCGATGATTTAATTACTGAAATTAACGCAACAAGGACTAGTCTTAGGTACTATCACTCAAGTATGTGTCTTCTTAGCTTCGTGTAAATTATTTATTACACTGGCATTAACCTACGTCTATTCCGTTACGAATAATTTTTTTTTAAACGTAAAACTGATACTTTACAACTCGACTTGAATATAAAGCCGAGTGTAAAACCAATTTCGTTTTAAGCGGAGTAACCTGAAACAATCTGCACAGAACGCTAAGATGAATAAGGGACGGAAACTACGTAACGTACGTCGGCCGGATGTGATATTAAAAAAACGCTTTTATTTCTACAATTCCGTTGCAGCAACAGGCGACTGTTGGGCAACTGCAATCTATCATGCTTAGCTCGATCCACTCGTGGATTGGAAGCGATCCAAGATCGCTGAACAGGTGCCTCGAATGCAATGGCGGTTTTCACCATTTCCTCAGACTTGCGCCGCGTTCAAATCAAGCGACGGGTCCGAAATACAAATATTTCTATACGGTCATACGTTCAAGACACATTCACCTTGCTGTTACGGAATTGCATTGACTGGACGCGTGCGACGCGAAAGTGATACGCTCTGCGCATTTCTTCGTTTTATCTTATCTAGAGACAACGAACACACATTTATATTTTCATATATAGCTATATATTTACTACATTTACTCTTAGTCACTTCTTCTTAAAAGATTGATAACATAATTATCAATCTATACATATACGTACATATATAATAATAATAATAATACATAATAATAATAATAATAATATACTTTATTGTACACCAAAAAAATCAAAATGAAAAAGTACAAAAAACAAAATATTTAACAAAATATTGATATGAATAAAATATTGAATATATATAGACAAAGTAATATATTATATTTACCAATAGAATATTACATGATAGTTTAAGATTTTGCTCGGGTTTCCTCTGTATTGCGAACTATATGAGTTATATGAGAACGTAATAAGAGTTTTAAATAAAGAGCACATTCAAAGGTCATCAAAAATCAATGAAATTTTTTACATAACAAAAATAATAACTTGAAATGTAGGTAAAGATATCGGTTATATGAATGAAGTGGCCATTTTTGAATAGACCCAAAGACTGGACTGTTAGTAAATCCAAGTTTCAATATGTTAAAACTGAAGCACCGAGAATGTCGTAAATTGCATCTAATGTAGCTCCGAATATCATTACCTAAAATATTTCGATCAATTCCTTATAGTCACAATTTTGCGTACCTATCTGAAGTTCGATGTTAACTATGTCCATCTAGGACAGAATATCAGAAGTGATGCAACTGGGATGCTGTTACCCTGACACCTGATGGTAAGTGATCACCACCGCTCATGGATATTAGCGTATATATTATTTGTAACAGGAGTCACAAATGAATTGAAAAAGGCTCTCTTCTTGAAGGTGATATTTATGGAACAATCAAGAGGTTTTTGGCAACATTTTTCCTTCAATCGTGGTACCTACGTTATTAAGTTATTACGAGGCCATTTTAAAAATATTTTCTCCCTTGGATGTTGTAATAGAAAATACCAGGAATAAGTTATTCCACAGAATACTACTACAATGCTTACGTATTCAATTACATATTGATTTACAAATAATATGAATTATATTTCGTACGTGAATAATCTGTACGTAACACTAATTACTGCTTTTATTTATGGAAATAAATAAAAATACTCCAAAACTGTTTAAAACTGTAAATGAATTGACTAATATAATCATCTTAATAATAAATGGCGTAAGGCTATATGCAATACCGAAGTATCGTTTATTTTATATTACGTATTAGATACGATTCTGCTCTTCTTTAATTTTATAAAAAAAACATATTTAAAGTTTCCAGATGTTTAACATAATTTTTATGAATGAAAACATGACTATAAGAGCAAATCAAATCCAAATATAACAATTTCGTTGAAGGTTTGTATTCCTGAAAGATGGCATGCGAGGCGATATGAGTTACTTGTATTGAGCAAAAAGCCCATCTACCCTCGAATCGAGCGAACGGAATCTCACGGCTTGTACTTAAAACAAAAAAATCTGATCGCGCTCCAAAAGGAGTAGGCAAACTGAATCCACTTGAAAGGATGTGCGCCGTCAATTAGTGGCGAATGGCAAAACTCAATTAAGCATCGATGCGTTGGGTGGACATGGCAACATGGCGAGGGATGCTGCGCGCCCCAGCCTCCGCTCCGCCGCGGGCGTAGTACGGCGAACAAAGCGCCCCGCCCGCGTGCGCTTCCGCGCGGCGGAGGTCCCAGCACTTTTTCGTGTATGAAACGCGAACTGAATTGCGGATGCTGATACGAACGTGCACTCCTCGGTATGTTAAAGCGGTCAGGACGTGCTGCGCTTTCCGTCGATCGGCGGGGGAGCGGCGAGCGTACATGCGACGGCGCGGTCCGCGGGATACTGGCAACCGGCAGCCTCCGGTCGGGGGGGCGCGGGGCTGCGCGGGCCCGCTTTTCATTAAGGTCCCCGGCCGCTGCCAGGGCCGCCCCGGACGAGGAAAATCCACGGCCCCCTTGATCTCTCTCCCGCTTCCCCCGAAGCAGGACTGCCGAATCGTTTCACGCGTACACCTCGAAAGCGTTCCTTCAGCTTTATGCAACTGTTTATCACATACGGCACTATGCGTCTAGATACGTGACGAATTTGTATGTTCCCATCTGTATTTCGGTGTTCTAATTTAACCGAAGCGAAAAGTAGACAAAACCCATTCCCACAATCCGTTAATGCCCTGAATTTTTGCCACATTTTATTTTGTACAATTTTGTTATTTTTAACCAACTTGAAAAGGAGGAGTTTATGTACGACAAAGGAAGTCAATTAATCACATAACATAAATACTTGAACTATGAACTTAATTTTTTTAAATTATATCATATTTCTTTACTATTCTTTACATTTTACTTCATTATCAAAAACTAACTGTATTTGTATTACTAGAAAGGGTGGACGCTTAATTCATAAAACACAGTATTTTTGTCCAATGATCAATTTAGTTAACATATAATATCCAGCTAATTCCGTACTAAAGTAGATTTTATTTCACCATCTAAGTAACTTTCACTATTTACATTCCACGCAAGGCGGTGTGGGTTACAACTATTTGTATTGAATTTACTTATATTTTCATATTCGATAATATTAATATTTCTCAAACCTTGTTTTGTGTTGTTTTGAGCTTTGAGCTTTGTTAGCTGTCACTAATTATATATAAAAAATCTTTATAAGAATTTGGAAATCTATGTGCGAACTCTGCAAACTATTGTCAACATTGTATATACATATATATATATATATATATATAGTAATAAAATACACGCTTTTATATCTATAAATTTTCTATTCTATTAAATATGTTAAATTCAACAACTGTAAATAATATTGTATGTATATTTACTACATGTATTCACCATTTCATAAATATGACTTGCGTATTCATACAAGTGTATTTATGAAATCATTCTATGTTTAATGCATAAGTGGGGCTGTATAAAAATTGCGAAAGTAATGAAGGTGAAGTAATGAACTTATTTTTATTTTTTCTTTCAACTCTCAAGAAGATCGAGTATAATACTTAGGTACTTCTCAGTTCCTTTACTTTGGTAGACGTTTGTTCTAAACATAGAATAGCCGATTAACGCTTGGTTTTTTATTCGTAGTGTGTCGTCTTGATTATTATGTTTTTAATACGTAACTGTAGTAGGTCCGTCCGGGTAAGTACCACGACCTCACAGAAGACCGACGTAAAGTAAATAACAAATACTTTCGCGTTTCGTCTGGTGAGTGGGGTAGCCGGAGCCCAATCTTCAAAAGGTTTTCAACGCATCTGTAATCCTCGGGCGTAGCAGATGTCCATGGGCGGCGGTAAGATGAACTTAACATCAGATGAACCGCCTACTCGCTTGGCAACTTTTCACATTTAAAAAAAAATACAGAAAATAGAGAGAGTCTTCTTGAATAATTAACTACTAATTCAATCTATATGTTGAGTAAGATTTTGAGAATAATACAAGTTTGTAATTAAACTGCAGAAAGAGAATTGTTACAGGTCCTATGGCCACTGAAATCGTACATAGTCCCAGGTACTGATAGCGGAAACATTGTCTACTAAAGTTATGAAACAGAAAATGGCTATTGCGACTTAGCTCACATTTGTGCGAAGGATCTTGTCTTTTGCTAACCTCATGATGACTAGCATTTTATTAATAAAAAGGTAAATAAATAGAGGTTTGAATAAGCGATTTCTGAAACAATGATCATTGTAGAATTTTTTTTTTCTGAGTACAATCTTTATTGATCTTATATTTACAAGATTAAATCTATCTAAAATTACATATTATCTAATAAACCTAATCCACGCGGCATGGTGCCAAGAACGCAAGCTGCATTTCCTTGCTGAATAGTTATGCTTAACCTTTGAGCGAGAAAAGAACCAGCTCTCTTGTCACCAGCCGCGGCGTTAAACCTAGGACATAAACTTTTAAAAAATTTTGATGTAATTCAGTTCGTAGAAATTAACTTATCAGCTGTCAAATGGCTTTGGAGTGCATCTACCAACGTTCTCAGTGTTTGGTGGTCTAGTGCCGTTGTGATTCATCACAGCGTTTTACAAAAAAGTATGAGTATTAATAGAGATGTGTACTGCGAAAAAATGAAGACAATGATGGAGAAGCTCGCGCGTCTGCTACCAGCTTTATTCAATCGGTCGTCCCCGCTGCTCCTTCACGACAACGCTCGACATACAGCACAACAGACAGACTTTAAGCAGCAAGAGTTGGGTTTGGAGGTTTTGCCTCATCCTCCACACTCACCAGACTTTGCACCTACCGACTATTACTTTTTCCAAAGCTTAGACAACTTTTTAGCGGGGAAAAACAATCAATTCGCGAGAGCCAGTACAAGTTGAAGAGTCTGTTGCTTCCCGGCCAGGGTTATTACTTTGAATAACAGAAATAAAAGTTTTAATAAAAAAAAAATCATACAAAACGGCAATTTCATAGGTAAAGACATAATATAATTTTCTATTACATAAACACATCTGGAAAATATTTTAGTAAACGCTTTTTAATGTGATTTTTAAATTCTTAGGACAGTTATCTTTTTACAATAATTATTGCGTTTGCGGACTGGAATACGGAATTTTACATTGATTCACCCTTTAATTCATTATAGCGATGTAATAGGGGATTATATTGTCTTTACCTATGAAATTGCCGTTTTGTACTTTTAATATGTATACTAATCTATTGGAAATATTATGAAATACCTATGTTGTTTTTATTTTTAGTTGCTATCTACGTTTATAATTAAAAAAAATATTTTTATTGCCTTTGCATTCGAACTTTTTAAACCATTTTCAATTCGTTAAAGAGGGAATTTACATTTACATTAAAATATTTTGTTTCTTATGAGTAATGTAGGTACCTATTTGGTATAAATAATTAAATCATTAAACCAAATAACTATGTATACTCAGTCCGTATCGCTGATTTTTAATACCAAGCCCAAGAAGTTTACTACCTAGGTTCAAAACTGTAAAGCAAAGATTCTACGAAATAGTGCTATGAGAGCACAGTCACCTGGGTATGGCGTCAATCCAGCGTAAACCGGGAAGAAACCATCTCTTTCGTAAGCAGGATAAGGCTATTTAGCTAATTCAAAGGAATTTCAGAATTGTGGTATTATTTACAACTTTTTGAAATGGAATAATTTTCGAGAATATTAATACATTAACATTGTATTGACAAAATAGCTATAAACTATCTGTCTTATTGTTTTAAAATATTTGTTAAATTAGATTATTTACAACGATTCAAAAGTTTATTCGTAAACGGGACAAATTATTCCGTCACAGTATTTTGTGTAGCAATGGCAGAATTGTTAAAGATTGCAAAACGACGAATATAAAGGAAAGATGCACCAACGCAATATAAAAAGTCTTCTGATGGCAGTGACTAGAATCCGTAATGGTCCCAGGTGCCTCAGATGTTGTTTGAGACTAACTGCAACTATCCCATTGGCAAACGTTAACCGAAATTATTTCAGTTAGCACTAGACCTACGTTTGTACCCTACGGCCCTCGTGAGTTACATTTCTTGATGGTTATCGGCTTTTACGACATTCTTATCAATGATATGGTAACGTTGACCTTTTTATGGGCAACGCATCAGCAACCCGTCAAGCGCTGTAGATGTCTATCGGCGGCGGTAATTACTTAACATCAGGTGAACCGCCTGGTCTCTTGCAAATTTTTCATATATGAAAATATTAGTTCAATGTCTAATTTGTTAAGAAGAGTCGGACATCCATCATCATTGATGTCGGTATGTACCGACATGTGCTACCTTCGATCCACGAAGCTCAAGAGGGAGTTCCTAACGCACAATCTTGGTTTATAGCTTGAGTCTGTTTCTTGCATGACTATATAACTCAGAGGGAGTAACAATGTTATGGTGTCCCTTTTTTAAAATGGTAATAATTAATAGGACTACTCTATGATTTAGATAGGTACGGTCGATTTTAAAACTAGATTTTTCTATTACGTAATTCATAGTTTTAGAATTTACAATTTCAGTACGATGTATTGAGCCGTGATAGCTCGTGTCCGGACGCTCGCCTTTAATTTAATATACTCGAGCAAGTGCTGACTTATCACGTTCTAGCAGTACAGGAAAACATCGCGAGGAAACGTGCACATTTAGAAATAATACAAAAAAACTTTTGCAGTGTATGTGAAGTCCGTCAATTCGAGGTGGAGTCGTGTGGTGAACTATGCCCTAATATCCTCTGCACAGAAGAAAACCTCACGTGATTAATGGACAGCCCCATAGGTACTCGATGTTAGAAATTGACCTGTCTTAAATTGGCTCATAGGGATGTAAAATTTTAATCCACAGTCCACTTATTGGACTACAATTTAAAACGCTAAAAACATTAAATACTCTGTAATTGATAACACATTTGTGAATAAAAGTAGTCTTCATTTGAAACAACCGTTTAATAAATTGGAATTTTCAAATACTATGTATGAATAATACCTAAGATAAATCATATCATTGTTTTTAATTTTACTTTAACTGATGTTTTTTTCTCCCAGTTCGTAGACTATTACTTTATCGAACGCAGAACTCTTGGACTAGCCACAACCTTTTCCGGTCCTACACGTTGGATTGAACCGTGCAAGTGCTCATGCTTACGTTACCTTAAATGGATCACCTACGGGCCATCGAGGTTCGGTACGGGCCAGGACTCAGATGGGACGATGACTCTGCATTAGTCGATGAAACCAGCCTTAAAAGCGAGGCGAGTTACGAAATATTTTAAGTGTTGACACTATTTATATGTAGTGTTTAGAGGGTGGGAACAACAGACTTCCTATCCCCTTCCAAGACCGGATCCATGAGGAACTTGTGAGGGCTTCATTGTAGATATATAATAATAGGGTACGGTGAGCGGAACAATTTCAAAAAATCTTGAAATTCCCACTCCACCAGGCGACGGAGCGAAACGGATGGAGACAGCTCGTTGACCAATTAAATAAGGATCACGATCCTCAGCAGTGAGGGAACGACTAAGAAGAAGAATTGTGAAAGGGTAAACATTTTTAATAATGCATGCCCAAAAAATCCTAAAATTGTAAAGGAAAACAACATATATGACGATGCATTAGTGTAAAATGTCATTTTTATTATAACAGTATCCTTACATGTTGTAAATATGCCAAGCATTATTTAGTTTTATCTTTCTTTTTTATTTTCTGATTCATTTTCTGGAACTTCGTTTCCTTATTCTTGCCTTGATTCTTTATTTGACCTATCTTCTTCTTCTTTTTCAACTTATTTTTTAATTTCTTTGATGCGTCAAATTGAACTTTTTCGGGTATATTTGCCTCTTTCTTATTGGCAAGAGTTACTTTTTCTGGTGCTTTGTTCGGCTTATTTTTTTTATTTTTTGTTTGTTGTTGTTTGTTGTTCTTTTTGTTGTTCTTCTTTTCTTTGGGACTATCACTACCTACAGGTACCTCTGTAGGTAAAGTTACCCCTGGCACTTTGGAAAGTTTAGGGGAACTATTTTTGTTCTCATTACTGTTCAATTTGCTTTCGTTACTTACTTCATTGTTTTGATTTGATACATTAATTTGAGGTTCAGACTGAGTGTTATCTCCCTTTCGTTTATGTTTTTTCCCTCGATTTTTCTTTTCCTTATTAACTACAGATTTTTTCATTTCTTTAACATTCTCACTATAAAAAAATATTTAAATTATATACCAAAGATCTGTTAAAATTCAATATATTTTGCATTTTGCATTTAGGCGAAGTTAAGTATTATGTAAATAAAATTTTATTGATTTACGACCCAAATATAAGAAATTTTTTGTCCTTCCGCCTCAGAATTAAATGTTTTATACTTAAAATGAGTTTTTCCAAACTTTTATTTAATATTGAAAGTGACATAATTACTAAGCATTAAATTCATATAGTTAACGGAAATTCAAATTTAACAGCTGCTATTTCTTTCATCTAACACAAGATTTATAAAAAAGTTGCATATATCATACTCTACCACCCCCTTCTAACATTTAATTAAAAATAAAAAATGCACAGCAGCGTCTTTTACCTTTCTTTGTATGGTGCCGTTTTCTTTTTCTGTGGCTCCTTTGCATCAGGAGCTGCAGGTCGTTTAACCGCTGCATTTACTTGAATCACCTTTTCTTCTTTGGAATCGGTTTCACCATTTTCCAGAGTCGGTTGAGCGTCAATATTTTCTGTCTCCTCGTCATCTTCGTCTTTATATGGTTCCGGCTTTAAATAAAAAAAAATAAGGCAATATCACACTAAGAGGATAAAAATGTAAAGGTCAAGACTCTACTCACAATAACATTTGAAAACTTTTTGAACTTGGCCACGAAAAATCCATCCATGTTATGTGTGTGTGGGTAAAATCTCCTAGTTAATTTAAGTGATGGGTGGAATCTATGATGCCTATATTTCACGAAACCCTCAGTGCCAAAGTCCAAACCAGTTGGTACTAATTTAACGTTACGGCGTTTTAATGCGTAATTAACAACCCATTCATTTTCTTCTGGTAAAATGGAACATGTTGAATATACTATATATCCTCCTGTGCTCGATTTTGCATTGCAACAATCAATAGCAGCTAAAAGTAACTGACGTTGTAAATTAAAACATCTCTGTATATCTTTCTGGTCTTTAGTTGTTTTCACACTTGGATCCTTTGCAATAACTCCAGTTCCTGTACAAGGGGCATCTAGTAAAACTCTGTCAAAACCTTTAATTACATTAGGGAACTGCCGGCCATCATAGTTACATACTATAGCATTAACAACACCTAACCTGTGAAAATTTCCTACCACAGCTTTTGTACGCTCCTTGTTTGCGTCATTTGCAAACAATGCACCGGTATTCTTCATAATGGCGGAAATGTGAGACGCCTTACCACCTGGCGCAGCACACATATCTAATATCCTTTCGTTTTCCTGGGGAGCTAAGGCCATCACGGGCAAAAAACTACTAGCACCTTGAATTATGTAGTGACCTGCCAAGTATTCAGGGGTGGCACCAACAGGGACTGTTGAGCTGTATATTACTAAGCCAACTTTGCTCCATTTACCTACAGGATCTAGATTTACGCCCCTGTTAATGAGAGCTTGAGCTAAGTCACGTCTTCTTGTTTTTAAACTGTTAGTTCGTATGGTAATCGGACGCGAAACTTCACTTGCTTCTAAAAATTCTACAAGCTCTTGAACAGGAAAAATTTGCATAAGAATCTCCATTAGAAATTCATTATAACTATAGTACATACATAAATCTTTTAAAAGCAAATCTGTGTATTCACAACGAGATTTACCCTCCTGTTTTAAATGATTAAAATCGCTTAAAACGGTGACTATGTCTTTTATTCTCTGATGAATATCTTGTAGACTAGTTGGATTCTGCAGTTCCTCTTCAGTGGGAAACGCAAAGACATCTTGCTTTGATATATTAAGTTGCATCTCTTCATCTGCTAACTTTTGATTAAATTTCTGTTTCTTTTTCAATTTTAAGTTTGCCTTCTCTATAGGTAACATATCCATATTACCATCTTCCTCATCACCGTCTTTTACATCTTCATCACTTGAGTCAGAGTCATATTTCATTTTTGTTGTGTCATTATCACTATCAGCCTCATCATCAATTTCATTTTCAATGTCTTTGTCAGAATCTTCAAATAGATCATCCAAAGTCCCAACCTGAAAGAATGAAATAATATTTTTTATTTTAAATGTCTTAACTGACACATAATTAAATTATCTAAACATGTATAATATACTCATAGTGAAAAGTATTAGTATTAGATAGTGAAAACACTGTGGCTCAAGCTGAAAAAAAATTTATGGGAATGCTGTGATTGGAAACAATAAAAAAATGCATACCATGGGTTACAAAAACATTGGTGTTGATCAACTATAAAACAATCAATGAAACAGAATGTTGGCACATTTGGTGAAATGGCAGAGCATGTCGGCTGCTGCACAACATGCATATAATTAAGGATTTCCGGATGGTCTGTTTTGTATGTGAAATGTACATAAACACACACACAACAGACATGTGTCCGTTCTATGAGTGGGGCAACGTTTAAAAAAAATTAAATTAAACAGAATAAGTGAATTTGATTTTTGAAAACATTCAGCTAGGTATTTAAGAATCATATTCTTTCTTCTTTTGATTGCATTAGAATACAATATTGTATCAAAATTTCAAGTTATTTGCTTAACTACCTTTATTGCGTACCTACCTTACTACCTTAACTTTATTGCAAGGTAAATTTTTATACATTAAGACTAGATATTACCTTGTATTTTTCTTTTCCATTGACAATTTTAGCATTTTTTTCCCCTTCACCATCATCCTCATTACTCTCTTCAGCTTCGGAGTCTATTTCCTCATCACTCTCTTTAGTTTCAGGATGTTGTAGCTCAGATTTGGTTTTACCATTTTTCTTTAAAGTTAACCAATCTTTATTATCATCAGTGAAACCTTGAAAAAATTTCAAAAAGAATGTGAGATTTTATATCTTAACAAATAAGCAAGAAATTAAGTTAAGAAATTAAATAAAATAACAAGGTTTAAAACATAGTTATTAAAATAAACTTTACAATATTGTCCACATTTATTTGCAAGACAAAATTAGAGGATCTAGCAATATTTATACAGCATGTTGTTACCACCGCGAAAAATGAACACATGTCTAATGCTACTTGCTAATAATCATAAAAAATATTAACATTAAAAAAATCCAGGATTAAAAAAAATTTTTTTCAAACAAACTAATTAAGTAAAAAAGAAACAAAATTTGTAACACCTTCACAAATACAACTGACTAATTCATACATTCAGAGACTTTTTCACTTGTCACAGCATCGCATTACATACCTCTCATTCTAACAGTTTGTTTTGTCTCTTTTAAATTCATTCAACCCATGCATATGCTTTGTGACCTTTACAAATGAACTTTATGTTACAGTTTTATACGTAAGGGTGTTTTAAAATTCTTTGTTTTGGAACTGGGTAAATATTGATGTTTAAGGAATGTAAATGTTTAATACAATTTTAAAAAGTTATCCTCTATATGTGTGTTCATTTATGGTCGCTATTGTAAAGACACGCTGTATATGCAGTGTTCTACACACTGGGTGGACATTTAGTTTGAAACTATTAACATTTTTAGGAACACATAATTGACCATAGAACTAAATATTTTAAGCTGCACTCTTCATTTGAATCTGAAATAGCCATACCTCCATCAATTTCTTCATCAGAACTTGAATCCTCATCTTCAATAACATCTTTTTCTGCCTTAGGTTTTGGATCCTTTTTCGCCAGCTTTGCAGCTTTTCTTTTTTCAGCTAATTCAGCCTTTTTTTTAGCTCTCCTTGCTGCCCTCTGTTTCTGACGGTGACTTAGTTTCTTATTTTCACTTTCATCATCCACTACTAAAATATTTCAATACATGTAATATGAAACTATTTAATTAACAGTTATATTTGTATTGATTGAACTGGGGGTTGACTGCCACCAAAGAGCTTTTAACAATTCGTCTGCCTTTGTACAAAGATTTTTTTTGTGCAGTTTTAAATAAATATATAAATAATATGGAATTAAATTAATTTTACAAACTGCATTGTTTTTATTTTAAACTTACATTATATTCACAAGCTAACAAGTATCTTACAGTATTAACAGATAAGATACTATAAAATCATCATAAGTAAGTGGAAATAATTGAGATTTGTAAAAATTGTGAACACAATAATGTGTACTTTTCGTGAAAATGTACGAAATTTACTAAAGATTGGGTCTTCTTATTTTAAAATTTCTTAATCTCAGAACTTGACCTTGAGATTAATTGGTATTTGTCCGGCTTGCTCATTTATGTATACATGGTATAAACTCAATAACCTTAAAGCAGAGATTTAATCATCCGTATTACCTTACCTTTAACCTTTGATTTTACCTTTAAAAGTGATAAATAATGAAAAAAGGTTACTTACAGAGTTCTTTTTTAAAAACTGGATCGGGTTGCTTACGCGCTTTCCTCCCGGGTCCTTTTTTGACAATTTTTGTCTCGTCAAATTTTGCCTTCCGCCCCATCTTTGAATATATAACAACTAAGTACGTGTTACTTTAAAAGACCCATTAATAATTAAGGAGATCTATTTTCTAGGGGATATTTGTTTCAACCACGCTTTCAAGAAGAAATAACACGTGCCGAGGAGAGCTGTCAAGATGTCACTTTTTGATTGAAGTTTATTTCAAATAAAAATATTTTTATTTCTCAGGCAAGGTTAAAAGATTTGATCATTCTGGCTGATCACTGATGGTACGTGTAATAAAATGTCGTCGAGATATTAATCAAAATTAGAATTTATTATTTTAGTAGTCGATGCTGTATAACAATGTTTGAGCAATTCCATTTTAATATGATTTCGACTTTACAATATCATGTTTTCCTACAATCAAAATCTTATTTACTTAAATAATAATATAGACGTTTATAGTGGGTAAAATGCGGAAAAAACAATATAGTTAAAATACGTTGAGAGTTTCATCGGTGTGACAAACAGCCGTATAGCTTAGTGGTTAAAGCCGTTAAGGCAAAAAACTTCGTCCATTTTAAATTTATTCCATTACAAATTTTAATTAAAGTAATAGTTAATAATAAACTTGTGTAAAAGTGTAAGGTATTCTACCCGCATTATTCTGTGTCGTTATCTATAACTTTATTTTAGTAGATAGTAATAAAAAAGATGATGATGATGAATAAAAAGGCGTCGAGACCAATCGTCATAAATCTGATTTTTTTTTTTTTTTACAATTCTACACTTAATTTTATTGACGAAAGGTTAAAATAATGGCAGATTGTGAACAAACCAAAGTTAAGGCAATCATAATTTATGTTCATTCCGACTACCACCGTAAGAAAAAACCAACCTATCTTTTCTATGGAAAACCGGGGTCAAATATCTGGATGAAACGCTCAGACCAATGAAAAAGTATGGACGTAGCCGCCTTAGACAATCGTAACGAATCATACATAACTAGTGTCGGCTTTGTAAAGGGGATTATCCCGCCTCGCAGTCCGCCTTGCCGTCCGTCGCTTTATGCAGGATTGGGAATGTTATTGCATCCTGCTTGGTTTCTGGCAACACCTACAGGATGCACCTTGCATCCTGCAAGAAACCTGCAAGCTTCGCCCACCGCTTGCAGTCTGCCGCGTACGAGTTTCTGTATTGGCGTTCTGTGTAGCGACAATGTTGCCATATGGAGGAAAAAAATGCATTAAGCCCTTACCAAAATTCATCAAGCAAATTCAAACTCTCCGAACACTATTACTTCTTCATCAACACCTTTGCGTACAACAACACCAAATCAATATTATATCCGATTGCCAGCTACTCCTCAAAGTCCATCAATACTCCATACACCAAAGACATCACCACAAACTCTACATCTTACACAAACTTTGAGTTCAAAATCAGTAAAGTTTCATTAAATAAATTCCATTTCTCCTATCACCTACATCGGCATCGCTACTTGTTCATTATAATAACGTCATGCACTTTCACTCACTGGAGGCAGACTGCCGAGCGGCCATCTTCATATGAGCTAATGGTCTTCATATTACGTGCCTCACTTGTATGAGTGAAATGTTCTGTCTATACTTTTATTTTGGTCTGAGATTGTATGCTAAATAAATAGCTCACATTGAAACAGCACATTACCAGTGAAGTCAATAACGTGTGGCGGATTAAAACAACCACCGCGTCTAATTTAAATTTAGCGCGTAATAGCGCGCGACCGAGTCGCCTCTGATTGGTCAGCGACCGGGGACTTCCCTCTGCCTCCACGCTCGCCGCTCAGAACACAACGGTCAACTTGTTTTTATTAACAATAACATTGTTCTAACGGTGAAAAGATTGTGCGTTTTATTTAATGGCATTCCGCACATTTCATGCCATAAACGTGAAGCGTGTAATGCTTTGCCTGGCACCTTCCGACAACGTGTTGCTGCAAGGACGCGGTGATGAAGGGCCAGTGACGAACACCGCGTCTTTGTGCTTAGCGGAACACTTACAGCTTTCACTTTCAAACACATACCAGACGCAACATGATCACCAGCAAACGTAAAGACCCGATGACGAACACCGTGTCTTTGCGCTTAGCGGGGTACATACCGCATTGCCTTTCAAACAGACATAACATGTTCGCCGGCAAACGTAAAAACTCCGCATACAGCTGACCTCGCACTGATATTCTTATATGTCAGGCTTCTTTTAAATCGTTTACGTCGTATTGTTATTGTTATTTCATAGCGAGTTTGCATACGATCGTTCATTCATTACTTAATTAATTACGAATTATTTATTTTCGTGGATTAATTAAAGTAATTACTTGCATAATTTTAATAGTATTTTAGTAGTATATAGTTATTACTTATATTAAATTAATTACTTAGTTTACAAACGTTGTATTATAACTTATTTGTTTCTCATGATGTGTTTATTTTCATAACATGTTGTAGTGAGCGATTGATTGATCAAATTTTGACGCGTGATTAAGAGCAGTTGCGAACTAACTACTTATTCTGGATATTGTGCAGCTGTGCACTAAATCGCGATCCGATTCACATCACCTGATATGCATTATTTGCCCCCCCATCGTTGCCTCAAACCTCCCTTATTAGTCGATTTGTCTATCTTTCAGGTCGAAAAGATGCAGTGAATCCGTTACAGCACCAACTACATTAAATTCCAGAATTCAGTTTTTTAATGATCTTTTATTATGGCAACTTTTATATTAAAATTAACATACATTGTCAAATAAAAATTTCAAAAGTAGAACTTGACTTGGCAATGTCACTCTTGGTGACTAGCAGAGAATGACAGATTTTCTGCCATTCAAATGTTCAAAAATGACAGACAATTAAAATTTTTATTGTGTATAATTCTTGGCAAGAATTTCTTGCTTCGTATAGCGTTGAGTTACTAGTCCTACGAAGTGAATATGGAAAAATTGTGATCATGATTTCCTTTTTTAATTTCCCAGAAAGATAGATACTGTAAAGATGATTTTTAATAAGGGTTATTTTCTGGGCTCAAGTGTAAATTTCTTGCGACGCAGAGTAATTTGGTAAATAACTTTGTATTCGTTTTGCACAAGCAAAACACATTTTCTTAGTTTGTAACTATGAAATCGTGAAGCAATTTAAAGATTATGTTAACAGAAACAGGTGATTTATTCTTCCTAAAGTTTTCAGGGTCATTACGTAAATAAACGTGAAGGCAATGTTGTTGTTCATTGCCAATGTCAAAATGCGAGACAAAATCGGAGCCTATTCACCTTTTCGAAACCAAATAGAAGACGAGAGTATTGTGGGAGACAGTTGGTTGGGTAAGTTTCTTATAGTACTTTGATTTGTACTCCTCGGAATCTCTTTACTTGTGTATTTTATTGGTTGAAACAAATATTTACTATATCATAACTTTGTATTTAAATTAGCAAATCACATAAAAATCAATACCTATATAGTAGTTCAAGTGAAGGTAACAAAGATATTATTAAGAGTAGTTTTGGACCAAAAGTTAGTTTAAAAAACATAACTATCTTCTACAGGTAAGTAAGAGTAATATCTATATACTATTCAAAACCTCATAAATAAATTCTTGAAAATACATTATAATATTGGTCACATGAATAATACAATTACAGTTAATAAAAAAAAAAAAAAAATTATAATTAAATCATGCTCCATAATTTCTATGTGAAACCAATTTTCTTAATATAAAGAATAGTGTCAAATTGAGCATATTTATGAAGATTCAATTATGCAAATGTATTTCATCATAACATCCATTTACATAATTGCTTATAATGTTTTCACACCCAAGGGTTCATGTACATCTACTATTGGAAGTTATTTTATTCATATTCAATATATAGCTATTATTGGGTGATATTGCATGGATTTTTACTCAGTTTTAAAACAAAAGATTATTTAAACAAAATATAAAGCTTTAAAAATATATATGCATTACCTGCAGGTAAACTAGATGTGTATGTCACTTGTGTCTATGTTAATGTGTTGTGTTGTGTTAATGTTTATGTGTTGTAAAATTATAGGAGACAGAAATAGACAAAACACAAATTTTTCAGAAGAGGCAAAAATGTCTCGAGTGAATAATTAAATTCATTACTGAATATGATGTCATATATGATTGGATATTTTATTAATTAGGTGTTGTAGAACATAATGCTTTATGCTAGTAGTGGGACATAATTTTAGTGTAGATTTTATTCTTGCGATTTTAATGGCATAAGAAAATTAATTTTGAGAAATGTGGAGTTACTATTGTGTGCCTCTGAGGTACAGATATGTATACCAGGATGCTATTATTTAAATAAACTTTTTCAGATATTCTATGGACCAGATGTTTGAAGTTGTATCAGATGTAGAGAATTACTACAAATTTGTACCGTGGTGTAAAAAGTCAATTGTTTTGAAAAGAAGTCTTGGACACTTAAAAGCAGATTTGATTGTTGGTTTTCCACCAATAAATGAAAGTTATACTTCAAATGTGACATTGGTTAAACCATATCTAGTAAAAGCAGAGTGTCTTGATGGCAGGCTGTTCAATCACATGTTAACTCTATGGAGATTCAGCCCTGGTTTGAAACGAGAACAACAGTCATGTGTAGTTGATTTTCAAATATCATTTGAATTTCGATCAGCACTTCATTCACAGTTGTCGAATTTATTTTTTGACCAAGTGGCTAGACAAATGGAAGGAGCTTTCATAAGGGAGGCTGGTAAAAGATATGGCCCCGCTACAATGGAGCCGAGAAATTTACTACTTACTAATCAGGCTCTCAAAAGTTGACAAAGATTTTAAATCTCTTTATAATATAGTTACCAAATTGTTATTGTATTTCATATTTATTGGTATTATGGTATTTTGTGCATTACTTTGTTTAACTTAAAACAGGTATTGTTTCAAGTTACTGACATCCTTAAATAGAAGCAAAGCTTCATCTAAAATTTATTGTAATAGTAAATAAATTAAAAATATAAAAACATTTAGTTTTTTTAATTACATTTGTCCACATTGTGATATTGTAACTGGTATTTTTGGTTTGTTATTGGGACCTGTGGGCACATTTTCTATTTTTCGCATAACTAATAATCCATCAATAACCCTTCCAAACACTACATGCTTATTATCTAGAAAGTTGCACTTTGCACACGTTATGAAAAACTGACAACCGTTTGTGTCCTTTCCACTATTGGCCATTGACAAAAGACCTGGTGAATCATGTTTCAATGCAAAATTTTCATCAGCAAATGTACTTCCTCCATAAATGCTCATTACACCTGTTCCATCACCCTGAAATAGATAATATTTGTGTTGATTAATCATGAGCGATATATATTTATACATTCTAAAATTTTGCCTACTTACATTTACAAAGTCACCACCTTGAATCATAAAATCTTTAATAACTCTATGAAATGTTGCTCCTTTATAACCCAGTGGGACTCCATCCCTTCTATATTCACCTGTACAAAATTCTCTAAAATTTTCACTAGTTTTTGGTACAATGTCAGCAAATAGTTCAAAAATCATTCTGCCAATTTCCTGAAACCATTTTTAATTATAGAATTGATAAACTATTTATAAATGTTTGTTTATAAATAGTTTATCAGTATGTTGGCAGTTTTGTTAACACCACATTATATACATAAAAGTATTTCATTTTCTCATGAAAGGTCGGTATTGTAAATAATGCTACGCTCTTTTTGCTCAACCTAAAAAGTTTTCCCATTTGAATCCGTGCTATTTGGCCATTGTCACAGTTCTAGGAGGTTATGTTTTCCCTCCCCCAAAAAGTTAATGACATAACCATAATATACAAGCGACACTTACAGTGGTCCCGACTGTGACATCGAAAAATACCACAGGATTGTTTGGATTTCTCAGTTGTGACTGAATTTGGTTCCAAGTCGGCATTTTAGTTCACTATGAATATTTTTAATTAATTAAAATGTATGTGTAAAATTAACATTTATTTGAAAGTAAGGTCTAACAGGTCTATTCAAGGTATTCCTGTTTGTTATTTTTTGTAGTTTTAATTGCAATATTACAGATATTTATATATATATTCTTTTTGTATTTCATGAGCACCACTGTCAGACATCAGTCAACACTATATTCAGTAGTCAGTAGCGATGTGCGACTCGAGTTATTTGACTCGAGTAACTCGAGTCAAACCTTAAACGAGTCAACTCGAGTTCAGTTTTAAGCAACTCGAATCTACTCGGTCGTCCGAACGCAAGCCGGACGTTAACCGCGGCGGCCTCACGAGTTGTTCCGAGTTACTAGAGATGGGTCGTATCGCTTTTTCTGAGTACCGTATCTGAATCAGATATCGATTTCAAATATCAGATTTCGAAACTATGTATTTTAATATCTAGATATTTTACGGTCCCGTATCCTTGAATTCTAAAAAAAATAAAGAGTATTTAAAAGTTGATTCATTCTATGTACATAATTTTCCTGATATTTAAAACTTAACTTATTTACAATGATGTGTGGGTTAATAATTATTTAGATTCCTCCGGGTTTTTAATTCACGGTTACGAACGTAAGCTGTTTGCCTTTATTCGTCGAAAGTCTTGTTCGACGATCATTAAAATAAATAAATAGAGCTATTACCAGTGATACCAACTGTTCAAAAAGAATACTTCTAAATAAATTCGAAAACTCACTCAAATTGACTAAATTCAAAAAACTTACTGATTTTAAAATCACGATTTTTTTTATACTATTAAGGTAAAATTAAAACATTACCTGATTAAATTAAAAATTTCATAAAAAATACAAATTGAAGTAATATAAAAATGATTTATTTTAACATCTTATATATCGCTTAATAATAGACTTAAACATATTTTTAGAACACGCAATCATGAGTGACAATATTTTTATAATTTGTGTAAGAAATAATACATTCAGTATTATAACTTAGAGCGGAAGAATTTAAAATATACACACAAAGCACATAACCCTTGGTCTGATTTCCACCCAAGCAGCACAACACTATTAAATTATATTTTTCTTTTTGTGTACTTTTATTTTTTTCCAAAAATATGAATAAAATTTAACTAATAAAAATATTCACAAAAAATTTACCTCCTAAAAAATTTCCATTTACATTTTTCTTCCTTAATTTAGGCAGAAAATTCTTAAGTAGTAAGTTGGCATCCCTTACTATTACGTGCTTAGTACCAATGCAATCCAGCTCAAGACTAAACAAAATTTAAAGACATCGTTAATACCGTAATTCGTATTTAAATGCAACAGAAATTTTTTTCCATGCTGTTAAGATTCAAAATTACTTAACTGCGCGCTTTGTCGCCCGTTACGGCTCAAGGCTAAACAAAACAATAGAAATATAATAATATCGTTGTAGTAATCTTTGATACCATGATTAGTATTTAATTAAAACGGATCTTATTTGCATGGTGTTAAGATTCAAAATTACTTAACTTATTCATAACATCTGTTTAAAAATCTGATATTGTGCCTTGCTTGCCGTACTGCTCTAACTAGTGTAATATTTGTATCTCACGCGCTTTGTCGCTCAAAATCTGTTTAAAAATCTGATATCGTGCATTGCTTGCCGTCCCGCTCTAACTAGTGAGTATTTATATCTCACGCGCTTAGTCGCTCGAAATCTGATATCGTGCATTGCTTGCCGTCCCGCTCTAACTAGTGAGTATTTATATCTCACGCGCTTTGTCGCTCGAAATCTGATATCGTGCATTGCTTGCCGTCCCTCTCTAACTAGTGAGTATTTGTATCTCACGCGCTTTGTCTCTCGAAATCTGTTTAAAAATCAGATATTGTGGCAAACGCGTATGATATTGCGATTCGTGTCGGTATAGCGAGCGAGCACGGTACATCAGATTTCGGAAATATCAGATATTATAAAATACATAGATATTGAACGAGCCAGTAAGCGATATTCGGATATTGTACTAATATCTAGTTTTCATATCTGATACGATTTGTATCGCCCACTTCTACGAGTTACACACGCGGCTCGCGCGCGCGGTTCGTTAGTCGTTGCAACTCGCATCAACTCGAGTTGAGTGAAATGTAAAGTTTAGTTTCACGCGCGCGCGCCGTTCGTAAGGTGTTGCATCTTACTCGCATCAACTCGAATAGAACTCGGGTTGAGTCGGGCTCGTTCGGCTAGGATCGGAAACGGAATTGCGCAAATGAAAAACTGCTTTAAAAGTTTATTTTGTTTTTTGGTTGACATTTTGTTTTTTGATCCGCGTGCGAACTGACATTTTTGATTTGTTAGTGATCTGTTTTGTTTTGTTTGTAACGACGTCAAATAACAGAAGTGTGGCGTGGGAATTCTTTGCTATAAAAACAGAAACTTTTTTTAATTTATTTTCGATAAGCAATCGACTATGTACAATTACATTTTATAAGTACGACTTTGAGGCGATAGATGGCGGTATTTTTTTGTCGTATTTTCTTAAACACGATGTTGAGATCTGCGCTGGAATAATATACACCTTTGTTGATTGATTTTCGAAATAAAATGCACACTAGTGCTAATTGATTATAAATTTTGTCTTTGAAATCCCAACCGTCGGACACTGTTCGAGGTCGAGGTGTATAGTAAAAGGAGAGGATTAGTTCAGACCACAATCGAAGTTGTGAATCGACTCGAGTAGCCACATAACATCACGATTCAACATCATTATTACTTCCTATCTAATTAGCCTCGAGTCGAGCTGACTCGTGCTCTCCGAGTTGGCCGAGTGGTCCCCCCCCCCCCCCCCGCCCCCTATGTCCCAACCTGAGACTTAGATGCGAGTCAACTCGAGTTGCGATTCGAGTCAGTAGCCAAATTAACTCGAGTAACTCGAGTCAAAAATCCAACTCGTCACAACATTGATATTCAGCCCAGCGTGATCAGATTTCATTTGACGAATCTACTGCTTGTCGAGGTTAAAAACTACTGAATTCTACCAAACGAGAACGAGAAAATACTAAAATCATAAATCTAGTATATTTTTTGCTGTCGTGTAACCTATAAACATGATTTTTCTTGATTAAACGATAAAGTAATAAAAATAACAAAGAAATCAATGTTTTTTTTAAGTTAAATTCCAAATAAAAATATAATCAAAAAAATAAAATTAAACTTAAAGTTAAGATTTTTCGCCTTTATGTTGGGTAACATTGTCAAAAAGCTGTTTGAGTCCATATGATCATACTTATGTCACGATCAAATCTCCTACATCCTCCTTGCAGCTGACCCCTCGTAACCCTTCTTTTCCATACATTGTTGCATTTAACATTGTTTTACATCGTTTTCTATCTTAATTTTTAATCCTATTAATATCGGAAAATATTCTTTCTACTTTGGCGTTTTCCAAAGGTAGTATCGTCATTTGCTTCACAAATCGGGACAGATTGCCATACTTTGGTTTGCTATTAGCATCACAGATTTGGCTGACATCACTCCAAAATGTATCCACCAAAAACCTCAGACATCTTACTAGCAGTTAACAGTGAATGTTTTTTAACATAATACAGGTTCACACTACTGCGTAAGTCGAAAGTATTAAAAAAAAGTCTTAACAAGAATAATTAACTAAGAATTACATTCCACATATTAACGTTAGTAACTTGCATACCTGAAAAATGCCGGAATATCCTTTACAAGAAGCACTCGTAGTGTTTACCTTAGATTTACATAACCAACTTTTAAATGAGGGATATTGCTTTCATTCATCGCGATATCCTTGTGTATATTTAAGTTTCATTTTAAACTCGATTATAAAAATTCTCAATAAAGGAATTCCCACTAGTCTATCACACTCTATGCTCACGGCACGAATCAAACGACCAAAAGAATGAAAATTAAATAGGAACAAACCATTCTATGAAAGGGGGAATACCCCACATTTATCCGATAAGCCAAAAAAGTACTAGAATAAATGAAAAGCGTCAATTCTACTAAAATATACCAAATAATTTTTACATACTAAATTCTGTTGTCAGTACCCCATAATCTACCAAAAAAGTAGAAATCTACTAAATCTGGTCACGCTGATGCAGTCGTCAATCGGCAATTCGTCATCATGGCGTCACGCATCAACAAGCGAATGTAGACAAAAGTCTTGAATTGGTCAGCCATATAAGAATTGAACGAAGTGTATATTTAATATTTATCCATAAAAGAAATATTAGTAAAGGGTTTTTTAGCGCCAGGTGTTTTTCTACCAATAAAAAAACTTTATTCGGTAAAGAAAAATCACTAATGAAATAATCAAAAATAAGCAGAATTCTCCGGTCGCTTATTGGTCGCTTAAAGTTGCTTAATTTTATTCTTTGCCATTGTCAATTATTATCAGAGATTGTACATAATCGTCATAGATGAAGTATTTACATTTTACAGAAACCCGTAAATTATACTTTCTTTTCGGTTTTCCACTTGCTCAAATAGTAACGTTGTATGGATGTAGCAGGTACGGCTATGCCATATTTATTCAAAATTTAAACTGATAACAAATCGTCTGCAAATTTTTGATAAAAATAATTCATTTTTAAAGCTTCAATAATGGAAAGTGGCAGTGATAGTCATGAAATGATAGACCGGAAGTATCTACGCCAAAGAAAAAACAGATAAACTCAGAGTTGGACGACATGTCAGAAATAGAAAAACGTCGTTCCCAATAGTTATATCAGTATATATGTCTTATCTATGAGTTATATAGTATAGTTGCCTATGTTGATGTTGATATATATGACGATAATATATATTTTTGGCCAGTGAATCAGCCTCACGATACAGCATGGTAATAATTATAGCAAGCTTGCTGGGCACGCTGCCCACAGATGACGGCGATTTACCCAGAATTTTTTATCTAATTTAGTTTATAAATAAGATCTTAGTTTTAGTAATATAGTACTATTTTTAT